GGCTCCGCAAGGAGGGACATCCCCTGCGCCCTGCCCGGCCCTCAATAGCTGTCCCCGCCCGCTGGCCTGGCCCCTCAGGCCCTCCCTCAGTCAGGGGAGCTGAGGGCCGCCCACTCCCGCTGCAGGCGCCTCGGAGCCCCGGAACATGATCTACATGAGCCGCCTGGGTATCTGGGGCCAGGGCACGCCCTTCCGAACCTTCGAGGAGTTCCTGCATGCCATCGAGAAGAGGTTGGCCTCCCCGCCCCCTCCCCTGCCCGCTGCTCCCTGCCACTCGGCCTGTCCCTGGGGGCGCACGGTGGCCCTGGGGCCCTGGCAGGTGTTCTCTAGGTACCTAGCTCTTCCTCGTGCTCTGGGACCAGCTTTCCCTGGGCGGGCCTGTCTCTCACGGCCAGGTCTCTGCGGGCACCCAGGCAGGGGACAAAGCTTCTCCGGGTGGCCCGTCCCTCGTGGGCCAGGTCTCTGCGGGCACTCAGGTGGGCTGTCCCTGCAGGGGCGTGGGTGCCATGGAGATCGTGGCCATGGACATGAAGGTCAGCGGCATGTACATCGCGCGCCAGCTCAGCTTCTCCGGAGTCACCTTCCGTATCGAGGAGATCCCGCTGGCCCCGGCCTTCGAGCGTGTCTATGACCGAGCGGCCCTGCTGGTGAGCCGGGGGACGGGCCTCCGCCCACGTACCGTGTGCTTCTGGGTCTCGGCGTCTCTGAGCCACGCCCCCACTCCTCCCTGTCTGTCCCCAGAGCAGTGCAGGTGCTGGCCGTCACGGGGGAGGGGACAGCTCCCCGCGGGGTCTCGGGTCCGGTCTCGGTTCTGTTCTTTACCACACCGGGCACGTCCCCTCCCTGTCCTCTGCACTCCACGACTCTCTGCCTCCAGACAGTGCTCACACCGCGTGGGCCATGGAGGGCCCCGGCCTCTCCCTGCACCTGAGAAGGCCGTGTGCTGCACCCCTGCCACGCCAGGTCTGCCTCAGACAGGTAGCCTCGGCACTGGCTCACTTGTCGCCCGAGGGCGTCCTGGGCCCTTAGGCGCTGGGCAGTGTCCCCTCACCCCATGTCAGGAGCACTCCCAGTCCCGACAGCCTTAGATGTCCCCAGACGAGCCCTGGTCTGAAGTACCAGCCGCCACACGACTGCCCCCGGAAGGCAGGGCTGTACCATTGTCACCAGTGTCCCCGGCACAGCACGACTGGGTCGTGACGGTTTTATTGGACAAGGCCTGGCAGCACGCCCTCCCCACCCGCCACATGCCAGCAGGCAGGGACGCCCCGCCCGAGGCCGGCGTGCGGCCTGGCGAGCGAGCGGTCAACCAGCAGTCGTGTCTTTGCAGTGGGCCGAGGCGCTGGGCGTGTTCCAGCAGGCAGCCGACTGGGTCGGCCTGGAGTCGCGCAAGTCCCTGTGGGGCCAGTTCTGGTCGGCCCACCAGCGCTTCTTCAAGTACCTGTGCATCGCCGCCAAAGTGCGCCGGCTGGTGGAGCTGGCTCGCCTGGAGCTGGCCCAGGACAAGGTGAGGCCTGGGGCCCTGCCCTGGTCCCTCCACCTGACACGAGGGCAGGGCCCGCGCGTCCAACCCATGACGGCAAAGGGCCAGGGCGCCGGGGCAGGCAGGGGCACACGGCAGCCAGGCCCGGCTCACGGTGCCCTCCCGCCCGCAGTGCGTGGTCATCGGGCTGCAGTCCACAGGGGAGGTGCGGACGCGGGAGGTGCTGGAGGAGAGTGACGGCCGTCTCCACTGCTTCGTGTCAGCTGCCGAGTGAGTGCAGCCCCGGGGCTGGGGAGAGGCAGCCCCGCTCCGCTGCCAGCCTGGCCCTCAGAGGCCTCGGGTCCAGCTCCAGTATTAAAGCTGGACCACACGGCCGGCCCAGGCCCCAGCTAGGGAGGGCAGTGCGGGGGCTCTGGGCGCTGGGCTCCCGGGCCCCTCTCGGCACAGGGAGGGCCATTTCAGGGACTTGCTTGGTCCCCGCAGCCTGCTCCATCAGGGCCCAGCGCCCAGTAACCGCCACGTGCCCCTCCTGTGGCCCTTGGATGACAGGCACCCGCCCCATAGCCGCTGCCCCTCTGGGGGACCTCGACCCAGGCCTCCCCCAGCCCCAGGAAGGCCGGGGCCTGGAGCGGTGCGGGCGTCCTTGGAGCACCAACTCTCTCTCCCTTCCAGAGGCGTCTTTCTGTCGCTAATTGAGAGGCATTTCCCTTCCACCAAGAGAAGGCGGGACAGAGGCGCGGGCAGAAAGAGAAAACGTAAGCCCTGCCGCCGTCCCGCCGCTGCCCGCCCACTCCGCTCTTGGCACCCGACGGCGGGTCACCCCCGCTCCCCCACGCCTCGCTCCGGAGCCACCCTGGGCCTCAGCTTCACCCGTGTCCTGTGGCGGAGACCACACTCTCCTTGGCGGCCCTCCCCTCGTCGCAGCCCAGATGCAGACCACGGGCCAGTGCCCACAGCCCCGGGCAGCTCTAAGCCAGGCAGGGCCCAGAGGCCACTGCTTATCCGTGAGCTAGCAGAGTCCTGGCGCTGCCAGGCTGGGGGCTTAGCAAGGCGGAGTGACCACCGAGGGCCTAGCCAGGCAAGAGGCCATGATGCTCGGGGACCTTGTCACCCCATGCCCCCTAGCTGCTCACACCAGACCTTGGCATCCTGTGAGGGGATCCAGCCCGGGGCACACCCTCGGCCCTGCCGGCTAGACCACGGGCCAGTGCCCACAGCCCCGGGCAGCTCTAAGCCAGGCAGGGCCCAGAGGCCACTGCTTATCCGTGAGCTAGCAGAGTCCTGGCGCTGCCAGGCTGGGGGCTTAGCAAGGCGGAGTGACCACCGAGGGCCTAGCCAGGCAAGAGGCCATGATGCTCGGGGACCTTGTCACCCCATGCCCCCTAGCTGCTCACACCAGACCTTGGCATCCTGTGAGGGGATCCAGCCCGGGGCACCCCCTCGGCCCTGCCGGCTGGCCCGCCTAGGCCAGGCAGGGGGAAGGCCCAGGCCGTTGGTGTAGGCATGTGGCCACACGAGGTGGCCTGGCTGCCTGGAGGCCGCCAGGTGGGGGTGCTAAGCTGCCCGTTGGTGCCTCGCCCTGGCCTGACACTGGAAAGATGGGCAGAAACCACTTGGTCGGCTGTCCACGGAGCAGCCAGGGCTTGCCAGGAGTGTGGCACGGATCGAGGCTGGGGACGGGGTCTCCCTAGAAAGCCCTCTGCCTGCTAGGGTGGTGCTGGGCTCAGGTCTGCTGCCTCTCTCTGTCCACTGCCTCCGCTTGGCCTGCCTTACCTGCTGCCCGGTGCCCACCATGACCCTGGCTCCTGCCCGCAGGGCGGCCACGGGGCCGCGGGGCCAAGGCCTCCAGGCTGGCGTGTGAGGTGGCCGGTGTGATCCGCATCAGCGATGACAGCAGCACCGAGTCAGACGCCGGCCTGGACAGCGACTGCAACTCCTCACCCGAGTCCCTGGTGGATGACGACGTGGTCATTGTGGACGCAGTTGGGCTCGCCGCGGACGACCGGGGTGAGGGCTGAGCCTGGGCCCTGTGCCCGCCGTGGTGGGTCCTGCCCTCACCCCGGGGTCTGACCCCAGCCGGGCAGTCAGCGCCGGCCCACTAGAGGGACCGCCCAGCTAGCCAGGCCCGCCTGGGGGTGGGGAAACAGGCACAGCGGTGGTCAGGTGGTGGTGGTGGCCAGACGGGGAGGCCCGTCACCCTCAAGCTGGTCTCGGGAAACGGCATGGAGAGGCGATTCCTGGAGCCCCAGGCTTGCCCGGCACTGCCCAGTGCCCTGCTGTCCCAACTCGTGCTGGCCCTCAGGCCACCAGGGATGGCCGAGTCCCCCTGACCCTCTGTGCCCTGCAGGACCCCCGTGTCCCCTGCAGAGGGACCCGCACGGTCCTGGCGTCTTGGAGCGGGTAGAGCGGCTGAAGCAGGACCTGCTGGCCAAGGTGCGGGCGCTGGGCCAGGAGCTGCCTGTCAACACCCTGGACGAGCTCATCGAGGAGCTCGGGGGGCCGGAGCAGGTGGCCGAGGTGAGCTCCATTCTGTCGCCGGCCCAGGCCTCTGCCCTGCCCTGCCCCTTCCCACCCGCTCCCTGTGCTGGACCCAGTGGAGCGAAGGCTTTGGAGGCGTGAAATCCCCTAGGATCCTGGGAGCCAGAGCCCTGGCAGCACTGGGGGAGACGGAAACCCAGGCAGGTGGGACAGCCATGTGGCTGACAGTCCTCCCCTCACCCTGCCTTGGGTACAGATGACAGGCAGGAAAGGCCGGGTTGTGTCCAGGCCCGACGGGACAGTGGCCTTCGAGTCTCGGGCAGAGCAGGGCCTGTCCATCGACCACGTGAACCTCAGGGAGAAGCAACG